TCCAGATGCTAGTATGGAATAACAATGGCTGAAGAAATCCACACCAACCGGTCATTTTTAAGCAAATGTAAATAATTATTTCGTTATATGAAAGCCGTCATTATCTACTTTACTTTAATATTAAAAACAATTTGTGTTCTCTTCGAAAAGTTTTGCAGTACATAATTTACTAAAACAGAGTCTGGAAATATCTGAATTCCACTATCATACATCCAAACATTTTTTCAAATATTAACAAGAGGTTCCAATCGGTTTATAGACAGTATAGTAAGGAATATTTCTTTAGAAGTGAAAAGAAAGCGGGGGAATTGTGAAAATGAGTCAGTTCTTCTGCTAGTTCCTTTACTTCCATTTAGAATTTACTAACGAGGGAACCTCTCGAGGTGATAAAACCCTTTTTGTTCGACATCTAGTGGGTTATACGTTATCGACCATGCTGATTCCGAATATGACTATGGAAGTTGCCCTTAGGTCTTTGAAGGTCCGGTTTTATGGAAAACTAGTGTTTCAGAAACTCTAAGTATTAACAAAAATCTTTCTTAATGAGGCATGATTATAGCCCGCACATTTCTGATTAAAATAAGACCCAGCTTTGCACTACCTTTCTTTGCAAAGTTATAGACTTTACAAGAAAAGCCCTAAGTGTTCATTGTCAACTGAAAGCTACAGAAATAAGAGGGAAAAAATTAATTTAGAGCTATTAATTAATTAATTTAGAGCTATTAATTAATTAATTTAGAACTATTCTATTTATTAGACCCATTGGATCGATCCCCGATTAGCCTCTTTCTTTGTTCTAGGTGTTTCGATTCTTGGCTAATGGTTGAGCGACTGATTGTCGCTGTTTTAAGGTATCTTCACCAAAATTGGTGTTTTTGCTTCGTGTACGGAGTTTCACTTTTGTATACACGTGAGCATAAGCGCATCGACGTGTAGGGATAAGAGAGAACGAGAAGAGAGAAACCCACAAAGCTGCCTATCGCTACGCTGTGAGGGAGAAGAATGATAATTACTGCTATATGTGCAAAGCTTTTGGCAGAAATTCGATCTTGCCATAACTTGTTTTATTAGCATTGTTTCACTATTAAATCATTTTTCACTGACGATAGATGATTCATATTATTAATGAACAATATTGAATAAGCATAAATAACCATAAAACCGTGATTTATATCGAATACTAGAATGAAGAGATTGTTCTTATCTCATAAAACATGAGTACTAGCACAAGTCATACACCAGAACTGCTATCAAAAGCACCTGACCTTGTTCGAATTAATAAATAGCATTTACACAAGTGAAGTCAGGCACGACAGACAGCGAACAACAGTTACGGTTGTTCAATGATCAAAATGCAGCCAGAATGAAGAAAATCTGCACACGTTTTGTTGTGCTCGTGTACATTCAAATGGTGAGTATTTTGAAAACAGAAGTCATTCTCGAATACGATATCTAGCACAAACAAACACAACCTTCACAAAGATGTTTGACTAACAGATTCGAAGCGGATTCACGTAATAACAATAAAAAGGAACTGACACGAACCGTATCAAATGAATGCTTGCCCTCATCATGTGGCGAAACAAGCCCTGTTAATAGTAATATCATGCCAATGCATCACAAAAGTATTGGAATTCAATTACGAAAATCTCCTTCAGCACCATCATTATTAATTCAATCACGTATGCAATTTCATTTCTTGCTGCTTTTGATTTATATATATTTTTCCGTGTATTTCTAATGCATAGATGCCAGTTCTACCACGACTTTAACCTCTTCACCATTAGCACAAACAACTACAACAACGTTATGTTCATTGCCACTGCTATCGGCTGATATTTCTATATCACTGGGAACTTCTATATCATAGTATGTCTTCGAGTGTGTACGACAAATTTATCAACTGATTAAATTCTGCACGTTTAGTTAATTTTTCTCATTGGACTCCATTATTTTGTTCCTGTAGATATTACCTTAAACATTATTCTTGCGTTCTACATTTGAGCTTAATAGTGATGTGGGTCCTCATAAAGTTTCGCAGCCACTTACGATAACAGGAGAAAAAAATCATTCAAAGAAAATTAAATTATCTTTAACAAAAAACTGAATATTACTAGTATGGTCCGACCATACTAGTAATATTCAGTTTTTGGAGATATTCAAAAGATAACCGGCTATCTTTTGAATATCTCCAAAACGAAAGGAACTAAAGAGTTCAGAATTCCCCACCTATAGAGAAGATTTCAGGCTGTCTGTTCACATATAGGGCCTCAAAATCCTTGGATTTTCAAATGGTATACCTGACGAGTGGCAGAAGATCAGAACTTTACACCATGACATCTTCTAATGAGCTCTGTGCTTAAAATTTGCCATAGGTAGCTGAGTGTGTCCTTGATTAATCTGCGCAAGTCCGACGCCTCTTGCTATCATGGTTTTCGGATGGCAGACATTTTGCTGAGATCCACTTAACTTTGTCCCGTTAAGTCAGATAACCTCAGAAATAAGTGGAAATATGGATGTTCGATCTCGCTGAAACTCATGGCAATGTTTGTATTAGCCGCTAATTCAAAGTAAACGAATTACTGATCCGCTAATTCTTTCGAAGCTCTTAAATTTACCATTGCTCAGTAAAATACAAATTGTTTTGTATTTCCATGAAATGTTATTCGTAAAATCACGTCTGAATCCAGTCACACAACCACCGGACTTCGTGTAGTTCTTCGCGACTATCTTGAAATGTTACTTCGCCATACTTTGCGATTTATTATTTTTTAGACAAAATTTTGAACATTTTAAGCAAAAACGCAAGATTGTGGTAGTACAAAATGTTTGACAACGGGTTCATAATTTTATTAAATTATTCTGTTGATGTCCATTTTCGTTTATTTCGTCTACCCCAAGTGATCACTCGGATAAATTCTTGTCTAAATAGTTGACTTGTTAAGCAATATAAATAAAAATTAACTCCAAAATGTAAATAGTTAAGTAGTCGAAGCATCCTCAAAATAAATTGCCAATATTGTCTGTCTCTATAATAATTATTATAGTGACCAATAGTACGTTCCAACAAAACTAAATAAATTGTCAATGGGAATGTTGTTATAATAAACAATACAACACATGCAAACATCATAAACATCATTTGATTTTCCATAAACTTTTTCTTCTTGTTATTGCCGTTGTTCGTATCAACATTTCGTCGCTGCCGTTTAATGTTGTGAATGATTTTTATATTTGATATAATCATAATCAACGCTGGTAGAAGACAGAAAATAATCATGTCAATATTTGGCCATATCAATTTTTTAAAATGATAGTATTGAGGATAATCATCTTTATTGTCTCTACAATGAGCCAGTGTTGTGTTTTTATCCCGTTCTTGACCCATACCAGCTGAAAAAAGATGACTATTGAGACCACATAAAAGAATGAAGATAATCATAATGGATATTAGTGCATTTTTTGGTGTTGATATCGATTTTGATCGTATGGGTAATTGTGTTTTTAAAAAACGATCGAAGCTTAGCGCAGTCAAGCACCATGATGACGTGTCCATAAATACCGCCGCAAAAAAGTGACGGAATCTACATCCTAATGCAGAATAAGTTGATAATTCAATTTGAAAGACATCAGATAGTAGATACCATAATGTGGTCATTAATGCTAGAGTGTCACTAATTGACAGTATAAGAAGAAATATGCCGCTTGATACTTTTCTCATTGGGCCAGTTGAAAATGTTAATAATGATAAAATATTACCGATAAAACCAGGTATATAAATAATTGTGTAAAAAATAATAGTACCTATTTTGCTATAATTGACCATATTACTGGTTGAATTCATTATTAAAACTAACAAAAAAAATTCTGATTAATTCAGGATGAAGGAGAAGTAGTACTTCATTTTAAAACATACCAGTGAACCTATTTTTCTGGGAAAAGAAAATACCAGATGCATAATTGGTTCATATTCTTCTTAATATAAAAATATAGAAAGTGAAAATGTTATCAACATGCTTCGGAATGTGGTATAGCAAAACTATTTCAGTTCTAGCAAAATTGAGAGTATTTCGGGCTTGCGTGCTGTCTGTCTGCTGTAGGGAACTGAGACTTAGACCCTTACAGGGGCTGACGAACAAAGGCTTCAGAACTTCTGCACGCGTTGCCTCAGAATAATCATCGGTATCACACTAGGATACAGAATGCCAAATGATCTGGTTCTGGATTTAACTGGCAAACCATCTGTGGAAAACATCATGAGAAGGAATATGTTGCAGGGGTTTCGATATGTATATGGGAAGAACGATAAAATGGCTCCAAAAAAGGTGACGTTCTCGTACTTTGCGGATACTCGACGCCCCCAGTATGGAGTGAGATAACGGTGTTATGAGAAGACCTTGGATGATCTGGAGAGATTAGGGATTCCCAAGTGGAGAAGAAGCGCAAAGAACAAAGATTTACGGAGACAGCTAATCAATAAGCACACCCATCGAAAACTTGTTGATCAACATCTGAATAAGGTCCTCAAGCAGTACAAAGAGTGAGCGGAAAAAAGGTGAGCAGAGAAGAGGAAATGTTTAGGCATACTTGACGTGTCAGCTGCTCAACCAATTATCGTTCTCAGTAGCCCAGTATCACTTGTGTGTCCTAAGTGTGGACGATCATGCAAAAGCGAACAAGGTGTCCTAATTCATCGACGAACATGCGATCGCAAAAACTTTTTTTGCGTAGAAGAATGATGACTCATCGCGATGAGTCATCATATTTCATGTGTTTCAATGCGTTAGCTATGAGTCATCGTTTTAATTAATGCAAGGTAACGGGCTATCAGCCTTTAATGAATGATAACGCAGTAAGATTCATTCATTTCTCCAAAACTTGTTTTTTTATATCCAACTATAGATTTTTTAACATGTGCTGACGTGTGAAACTGCTTTACTTTGGAAATAATATGTTGGAAGGTATTATTTTTATGCGAAAGATGTTACATAATGAAGGATAATGCATTAAATTTCGCTGAACATTACGTGTTTGCAAATACGCGACATCTGTATTGCATAAAAAATTCACTGCTGGTCTATCGTTTGATTGGCGATAGTGATCTTTCGAATTTCCAGTAAAGCTGGACTTTTTAAACAAAGTACGGTCTTTATAGTGTGTTTTGAAATATACAGGACAGAGCACTTTTTATTGCCTTGAGAAGACCGTGATAAGCGGAAATTATTATTGAAACGTTATACTTGCTCCTTGATCTCCCGAAACACGATCTCATGTCAGCCTAGTCCTTATTAATTTTTTGTGGCTATTCTCAGATATTCTGTTCTAATTATGAATTATTTTGCCAGCAGCATCTGCGTTTTCTTCCAGTTCTTACGAGAATCTGTCTTGATGTGTAACGTTTTGCCTGCTAAACATTTGTTTTCGTTTCATTTCTTTTAGGTTACACATCTATCAGTAACAAAAATAAAACGCCGCTAGAAAATGACTACTGTAACACGAAAGAACTCAACATCTTCAATGACTAGTTCAATTATGTCTGATATTGGAGCAAAACCAACACGTGCACCATGAAATGTTAATTCTTCAATTAACGTTTTTTTAGGTGATGAAGAAGAATGTGAGAGTCAGAAGATTGTGCTGGAAGTTGGTGATAAAATATTCGATAGTGACATTGAAAATCACGATGAAAGTAATCAACAATGTCAGCAACAGCATTCAAATGTAGAAAATCGAGGAAAAAAAATAAATCTAGGTATAACCATTTGGCTCAAAAGAAAGTGTAAAATATATTATAACTAAAACAAAAGTTTAAAAAAGATTAAAATATATCTTAATCTAGTCTTATAGGACTAGTTTGTTTATTTATTAGTTGAAAAGGGACAGATACTGAAAGCCGTAGACACGTTACAGGTCTAGGTGAAAATCATAGAAAAGAAGCTCTTTTCAAACTACAAACATGTAGGAATTCTTGCTTAGGTGAAATTCAAGATGAAGTTCGCATAAATATTTTTTTGTTTTTTCTAGGAACGCAAATAAATTCAGCATCGAAGATTTCCTTTAGCAGTTTGAATAGTACTTTATCAACTGTTGTTGCTGTGCTTTTTGTCGCGTTCATTAAATAAATATCATCCTTATTTGAAGCAGATCAGAACTATTTTGCAGGAAAAAAACGATGGTTAAAGCTTATGGGTCGTTATAATCTGTTAAACAACAGCTATTTCAATGGCTCATAAGAGAATTAGAAATCCAACAGATAATAATCTGTTGAAATCGGACTCATTAATGCATTTTCGCACGTAATTTTGATAATCTTCTGTTAAAATAGGTTAGTTTGATTAACGTAAGTTAATGCGTTATCTTGCGTTCGAATTATACGCCATTAGAGCTGTCTTTTTTATTAAATAATGTTTATTATCAAATTATAAAACCATAACACGTCAGCACACATTAGAAAAATATATGAGTGCTAATGCATTGAAATTAGAATTTGCGTACAAAATACATCTTAATTGATTATCGCCTCTTAATGTATGAGCATGCATTGAAGATTAACGGATTCTAACCTGTTATAAATACTGCACAAGTGATAATATGTTAGAAAACCCACTTTCAATAGATATCCATCCATTATTCACTAAAAAACGAGATTTAATTTTTTTTAATGTACATTAAAGCCTCAAAATTGTTCAATGGGTTGTCGAAGGAAAATGTTAATGGTACGTACGATTATCCAGTATGTGCAAGGTCATTCAAACCTCAGAGTATCACTGACCAAGTTAGGTCATGCGTGACGAAGTAGTGCAGGGATAACGGTTTTAAAGTAGGATGTACAACGTGCCAACTATGGAATTGACGAAAAAGCGGGTCTATGATACTTTAAGATTATGACGCGTGTCACTTAAACCGAGTTTTAGTAGCTAAGTGTTAGTATGAACCTGGCTTTCAGCGGTATGTGACCTACGATTAACCGAACTATCATCAGACCTCGAACTGAACACTTTGCACCGCCTTGGTGCAATCAAAAGCTTTTTTATTTTAATTTTGTCATAACCTTATTTTTGTAATCTTCATCATACACCGTCTGGGTACTGGTATCCTTAACTAACAATAGAACTATTGAATTCTGCACTTTTTCGCTTATGCTCTTTCTGATTTTCGAGATGAAACTCATCTTTCATGTTAAACATTTCATAGACTCCAAGTAATAGGCTTGCAGTAGTTTCTGTCTTCTGTTTTTCTGTCTGATAGTACCGACTAGGAACTGACTGATGTCGAGGAGGACCTACATCCAGAAATGCTAAAAGTCCCGAAAATTTGATGCTAGGTACCCTCTGTTTTATTTTGTACAAAGTCAACATTTAGTGTGCCATAAATTCCTAACTTGTTGTACAGAAATACATTTCCCATTTCCAGGTCGTGCACAATTTGGATTCGCTGCGAACTCATCGTCTGTCAATTTCTTTTATCCCCAGGTATCTAGGGTACCCTAGCTATCTAAAGACACCCACCCTCTCCTCCTCCCCCTTACATCTTATACATACATGTTTAGTATATATATACAAAATATAAGTTCGCTGCGAAAGAGTACTATATTTGAGTTCACAGCGAACTTATATTGTGCATAGTATGCCAAAACAAGTTTTACGCATCTCTGTGTTCATTTTGGGTGTTCAACCATCTAACCTAAGTTATTAGTCTGATCACAGTCAATGGCCATACGAATTCATACATAAGCATTACTTGTAGAATTATTAGATGTCATTAATCGATGTGCTCCACTATGTGTAGAACTGTTGCGCATTTCAAAAGGTTTATCCTGCCCACAATACGCAGAAAAAGAAACACCTTTAATACTCTTAGCCCCGTGTAATGTAATTCTGTACAAATTTTGTATTATGAACAGGATTTGTTTTTCTTCGAGGATACATAACCATACTTACTTTTAGTCTTATCACTATTCACTTTCTTTTACCAAGTATAAATTTCTTTAATTGAAATAGTCTTGCAAAACAAAAGATAAAAAAAGAAGTGTGTTATATCTGTTGTACCAAACTTTAGCATAACATCATAAACTGAATAAAGGATATGTTAATTTTTGTGTCAGATTAATCAAACAGAATATCATTCAAATCATAATACTGTCACGAAGCTGATATTTGAACAGGTCATGAGTGTAATTTGAGAATGAATAGAAATAATTTAAAATAGCGTTTTCCATCACGTATATAAATGTTTTGTTAACTTTTAATCAATATCTTATTGCAAACGTAATAACTACGCTCCTTTAAGAGAGGTCACGATCAAATTTTTGCAATTAAAAACGCTGAAAAATATTCTTCTTTTCTTCTATACGTTTTCAGCCTTTTATATCATGTCCTTCATTAGTTATGAACTAAACATTGACAGTCACTCGTCGAACTTTGACTTTTTTCTTTTTTGCTAGTTTATTGACATTTTTTCTGAAAATCCTTGACGGACAGGATCATGTAATATCTCAGAAGATAGAGTGAAATACGCTCTACAAAACTGTGTATTTGCTTTTTTCATAGACCGTTGTCGTGAAACACAGAAGTAAAACAACTAAGAAAAAAATCAATTTTTTTTGATGATTTTTTTCTGTATTCAGGGTTTTTCGATATTTGGAAGTACCCTTGTACGAAAGTTTCTTCACGTATTCCGATAGAGCAAACGAAGGGCTATCTAGCGAGTATAAAAGTATCTCAGTTGAGATACTTGATTAAAACATGGATTGTATCTCAGTTGAGTCCAAACCACTTTAAATCGATCTATATAACACAAACGAAAAAAATGTTATGAATAATTTATCAATAAAAATTAAGTTCGAAAATGACGCGTTCTTTTATACAGCTAAGATCTAACAGAGCTACCGTAGACTTCGTTTATTTTGAAAATAACAATTCAAATGTGTAAGAAATTTATATAATGATTTCTTCTCTTCTTGGTCCTTTCTTTTACACCACTCACATTATATCACTCTCTCTCTCTCTCTCTCTCGGAGCAGTACATATACTCATGTACATAGGATACAGTCTTCAGTTTGTACAATACACTACAACTGAGGATATCATTCCACCCACAAAATGGTATCATTGACCGATCTACCTACCGAAATTCTATTATACATATTGGAATTTCTCGAAAATAAAATTGATATTTTCTGTTCATTTTATGGTATACATAATAAGCGTTTATATCAATTAATTCAAACAAATTTTACTGAATCTGCAGTTGATTTATCAGTACCATTAATATTTGACAGTAATATTCTGAATTACAAATTTCTATTAAATAATATGCGTTTAAAAATAAAACATTTGATTTTAAATGAAAATGAACAATTTCAATTTTTATTTTGTGCTCCTGATACAAAAAATTCTGTTTCCAAATTTAACTAATTTGACATTATTATCGATTAATTGTAAAAGTTTTCTTGATTGTTCACCAATTACATCAACCATCTCTTATTAAGATATTTTATTTGACGGGAATCCATATATAAATTCAATTTCTCACAATGAAAATGTTTATCGATATTTATTTTCGAATAAAACTAATTTATAAATTAAATTATAAACTAAGATGTTGACTATACAACATTGAAAATAATTTGTTTTATTCGAAAAACAGCGATTCCACAAGGATAAGGAAGAAGTCGATGATAACTTGCTAGAAAAAGAATCTTTCTTTTTATATAAGACGTTTGCGTTTTCCAATTCAAAAAGTTATCTATTAATGCCATAGAGATGTTTTTAGACTTTGAAATCTGTCACAGTTGTGAGATTTGAAAAATGTTCAAGAATATATAAATCCTCATTTTCTCCTTGCAGTGTGGCTCTAAACTTTGTTTAGACTCTTTGAATGATGCAGCGTTTGGAGGAGCGAAAAGCCTTGATGTTTGTCAGTTTTTCGAGACAAAACATTTTAGTACAACCAAATTTCCAATACTATAGATACGTTTTCTGATCCCAGTTAACGGATGGTAAAGAAAATTCTGTTTTACTGACATATTTACTCCAATCAATGAGTTTTTATAGTGCAGGTCACATCGGCAGGTCGACAGATGATATACTAACTCTCATTGAATAGCATTGTTTATTTTATTTCTTTTTGTCGTTAATATCTGTTCACATTAGAGAGGTTACATTCAATATGGGATTGAAAAAAGCCTTCACTGTTCTGAATAGAGTCGTGTTCACTTTACAAAAGTGTGTTTAGAGCAAAAAGCGCTCTGTTAGACCCCAGACTGTTCGCTATGAAGAAGTGGTCACTTTAGAGAAATTTTGTAGTACTTGATTTTCACAAATTCTTGGTAGAATTTATGGGTTAGTTTAAAGTGTGATCATGAAACAACTTAATAAAGTAAAATCTCCAATACTGTAGAAAAGTTTTCTAGTAATGATGATTGATTTATCGCATTCGGCCCCTTCCTGTCATTAGAATGTTGATTAGCCATCAAATGTCAAATGGTAACAATATCGGTCAAGCAGCGAACAGGTGGGGGCGTGGCACCAGTCTTCCGTGAATCTTTTAAAATAGAAGTTTAAGCATTTTATACCTGCACGAACACATTTGCAAAGCAGAACTACAAAAGTAAACTTTCGTAGTCTGATGAAATAGTTATACCATGGTAGCAGTGTGAGCGCTATACACACGTGATTTTCATTCACCAGGAAAAGCCCTCGTCGAAAAACTAAAATTACCTTTACTCTCCGTGCGTAGGAAGTATTTCCGACTAGTGTATTTTTTTAAAGTCCTTAACGGCTTATCACCTTTATCTCGCTTCAGTCTTATACAGTTTGATGTGAGTAGAAGATCCGGACGTCTATTACAGCATAACAGGCAAGTTTTTATCCCAGTTGCGCGCACTGAAACTGTTCTACAATCTTTTTTGTACAGGACAGCTCGCGATTGGAACTCTCTCCCCAACACTGTAGTTATCTCGCCAACAATAAAATCTTTCAAAACCAAACTGAGACAGCACCTACAACTGTGAAAGGGGAAAAAAATAGGATAGAAAGGTGGCAATTTTTATAGGTGTTTAAAACCTTTCTTGCTTTCCTGACAACATGTTATGTATTGGTTAAATTTTTGCATTGTAATACTAAAGTTTACTCTTTTCCATTCAAAACTGCTGTTGTCGAAAGAAAAATCAATCAATGAATCAATGAATCAATCAAAACATTATTTTCAGCCCATAGTTGATGACGAGCGTTTTAATCTCCTAACGTCAAAATCAAATAATTTTTTGAATCTACTTTTTCTAACTTGATCTAAAATAGATTCAATCTGTTGAATAAGATTTTTCATTCAAATAGTTTTTGATCGATGGATATTTAAAACGATGATGCTCATTTTATTACTCAGTGTTAAACGCCATACTGAGATTTCAAACTGCAGTTCTTCATATTCTATCAAACGCGTGTAACAGAAATCATTTCTAATATAAACTGCGCATCCCCCGCCATGTCTGCTCCTATCTAATCTCTCAATATTCTGGTAATTATGAACAGCTAGTTGGCTGTTATTTATATTTTGGTCTAGTCACGCTTCAATCAAAAACAAAACTGCCGGCGAGTTTAAAACTAGATAGGCAGCAACGTGATCCATCTGCGAAATAAGACTATTTATATTCATAGAAACAATCTCAACGCTAGCAGGCACAGTTAAATTTGTAGAATTTATGGTGGTAAATCAGTTCGTTTCCCTCTGTCATAGTCAACTTGTAGTGAATAAATATATACTTTATTCCCGTATAATGACGTTTATTCAAACACAAACGTTTCGGCTTGGTAAAGCCTTTTTCAAGGTGACAATAGAAAGAGTGAAACTAGAAATAACTTTAAAATCGGTGAAATAGATTCAATTATTAAAAAATGACAGATCATCGAAAATAAAGTGTTGAATTCAGGTGTGATTACTTGGAGATGGCTCAGGCTATCACTCTTTATATTGTCACCTTGAAAAAGGCTTTACCAAGCCAAAACGTTGGTGTTTGAATAAACGTCATTATACGCCGTATAATGACGTTTATTCAAACACTAAACTTGTAGTGAATAAATATATACTTTATTCCGGGAATAAAGTATATATTTATTCACGACAAGTTTACACATCCCGTAAGGAGCAGCAGAGATGTCCGAAAAAAGTCATGGTCAAGTCTGTACTTCACTTGTGTACACGTTACAAAAAGGTAGTTAAGATAAACGAAAAGAAAGATAAGAACAGAAGCAAGAACAACAGAAGAAATGAAGAAAAACACTAGCCTGAGATGATTCATAGTATAAGTTTTTGATAAGGTCACTGCAATTGTTATACTTGATTATCAATTTCCTCCATTGAATAAAACCGTTTATAATTACTTTTGCTAACAAACTGATAAACATTTCCATTTCGTGTAAAAGTTGTTTTCTTATCAAGTTTCTGACGTGCATCAACATATAAATCATTATTGTATTTAGTTAAACGTTCGTTAATAAAAACATTCTTGTATAAATCATTTTGCCGTAGTGATTTTCGCGCATCGAAAAATATCAATCAAATATCAATGTCAATTGTTTGTTGATAATAATTTTATAGAAGGAAAGATTAATTGTATTAATTCAACAATCATCGTTTTAAAAGTTTTATCTAAAACAGAAGCTTTCAATTATAACCGTAGCTGACGATGATTACAGTTGTAATTGAAAGCTTCTGTTTCAAATAAAACTTTCAGAAATGTTTATTTAATTTTTGTTGACTGGTTTGAACGAGTTCTGTGACATGCGTTTGAGCAGTGTACTCCGTAACTCAGTCACCACTTACACGAAACGACTCTTATACGGTATTTGCTTTTTTTGTGAAATAATGTGTTTCACGTAGTCGAAATCAAAAGTAATTACTCTAGTTAAAACCTACATAACTCCTTCGCATTGCATACCAACCGCTTCGGACAAAAAGTTCGTTCGCCAATATGGGCATATTTATCAGTATGCTTCATCGATTCTTCTACACAATTATAATGGATAAATGAAAAACCAACAATTATATAGGTAGTCTATCAATTTGATTGTAGAAAAATATGGTCGACACTTATGTATAGTATAGCTAGTAACATGTGAGTGATCACTTGTAAAGACTATTTAAATATATACGTAAGTGTATGCTCTTCGTACGAATGTATCGTCATAACTCGTAGTTTCCTTTTGCACTATTTAGTGCAAAGGGAAAATACGTAGTTGAAGAAGTGCAACGATACGGAGGTCGGCAGATCGAATCTAGGAGAAGAACTTCAAAAATTGTTCTAAATATTGGATGTGTGCTCGAAATATCGGGTTGATCTTCTCGAAATGAATCGTGTCGGAAAAGTTATCAGATCGGTGAGATTTTTGGAGAGAGGTAAAACAACATCAACAGCAAATTCTAGTCATGTAAAAGTACGTCGCGATGGAGGTCTAATCACCATACCAATTGCTGCAGCAGCAGGTTATGGCTTTTACAAATTTTTGGTAGTGTTTTCTCTCCGTCTAATGCGGAACTGGATGAATGGTTGATTCGAATTGAATGTAATCAAAGAATTGTGCATCAGATACTTGAAAACTATAAGTCAGTTGTGGCTTTCTTGGATGAAAATTAAGCAAGAATTGTTGCTGAAATTAGTTCTGTAATTGATAATGTTAATAAAACTCGTAGTGTTTTGTATGATATGATCAAACACATGAGATCTGTTGAGTCAAAGGTAGATCGACGCGCAATTTCTCAATTGCACACAGAAATCAATCGACATTTTTCTGCCGTTTCTAGTAGTCACGACGAAATTAGAAACAATAAAACGTATATGAATTTTTTTGTCTCAAGAACAACAATCAACAATTATTCATTAGGCTTTCGATGAAATAAAGCATTATTTACCCGTGAAATTTTCTTATCCGCTATATGGACTGGTTCATCGTCTTCTCATTCGTCAGTTTGTTACATTTATCCGGATCAATAGCTATGTCGTTTATCATTAACGATGATAAACTCGTATGCCTCTCAGTCTTCTAGAAATGAGGAAACCTCCTAATGTTGATTTTTCAATTTTTATTCAAATTTCACAAAAATTGTGCAAGTACAAACATTTTTCGAAGCGGTTGAGGTATTTTTACTTCAAAAACATCCACATTATAACTCAGTTAAATTGATGGGTTTTTTTCTTCCAAATGCCAACTGCTTCGCGCCATAGTTTGTTAATACAGAAAAGAAATGTTAAGGATAATACCATGTCTTCAAGTCCATTGGATAATCAAATTCGCAATCGGGCGTTTTGTCGGTACTCCAATTGGCAAATCTCGTCACGTCCGTTGATACCAATTCCCCTGTGTCACGATCATATACTTTCATAACTATTTTAATTGGTTTTTATTCCGATTTTTGACAT